TAAATTGAATTTTTGCTCAAAGGTATTGTGACTATATGGAAAAAATAGACTTAAGATTGTTCTGGATTTCTATTTTGGTTGACATTATTAATTTATTTTGTGACAATTTTATTTTATACCAGATTTTCTTATTTATCTTTTTTTCCTCCCGTATATGCGCCCCTGTCAACGGTAAAACGGACCGTTTTTCGTGTACAGGATGTCCTATTTTCGTATGTTTTACTGTGTTTTTACAGGGGTACTTATATGAGTAGAGATACTTTTTTCATGAAACTAAAGTTTGGTGATGTGAAAACCGCATCTTTGTACTATCTCTACTCATAAACGAGAAACCCTGTACATGACACGGAAATGAGACAGCCTATACACACAAGGTTTTTTACTTAGTACGTTTTGACTGAACAGGCAAGACTGTCAAGTAAAACTTCACGTGTAGACGGGGTTTTACGAATAAAAATATATTTTGTATTTTAATTGGTTTGTTTACTTCCGTGACGATATACGCAAAACTTTTTAATGTGATATTAATAGAATTTACACCGATATTTGAATTAGAGAGAATACACGGTTAGGTTAATTAATCTCAATTACTAATCAGAGTGATATTTACAGCGCAAGGTGATATATTTCTGTTTCAGTCAGCCCTTGAAAGACAAACACTGTTCGGCAAAATTGCACATTGCAGGAGCGCCCTTTGCGATCCTGGGCGCAGCCTGGTGTATAATTAAACAAAAATCGATTCTCCTATCTGGGTTTCTAGGCCTTCCCGGCATAGCATTTTATTTATTTTCGTACTTTCTCTACCTGTCACCAGCCCCCATTTCTCTCAATATTCCGATAAAATCTGGTTTAGTCGAATATTTTTTTAGTAGTAGTTTATTTTTATTAATTTATACTAATTAAAGAAAAAGAGTTTTGTTAAAGAAAAATATACAGGATGTTTCAAAAAACATGTGCCATCTCTCGTAGGGAGATTAGTCACGTAAAAATAAGATTTATTTTTCTTATCAACATAGGTCCGATTCTGCTTCGTTTCGTAGCTACAAGGTGTGAAAGTTTGAATATTTTTTCGATTTATTATAATTTTCATCCAAGTACTTTTAGCGTTTCGAACATTCTACAACACTCTACAGCTTACGCCAATTACAGAGTGGGTTACACACAAAAAAAAATCAATACAAAATAATTAAATTAAACAAAAAATATCATCAATGAGAAAAAATACATATCAATGAAAAAAAACAACAACAATATAAACCAAGAAAAACCACTAAACTGAACTCACAACCGAAACCAAACTGCAGCTGAAAATATCAAAATTACACTGATATAAATTATATGCATCCTGCATACGTTTCAATGGCGAATATTTACTTACATTTGTGCGCGAGGAGGCCACATAAAATGTAAAGCTATACCGAGAGCTACGTGGGACCAGAAAATTGATTTGACTGAGAACATCCGGACTATCAATTTCATTATGTAATAACTTGTATAAAAATTTCAGCTCTGAATTTGTCCGTCGAACCTCCAAGGAATCTAGAGAATGTTTCTGCAATAAAGAGCTGTGACAGCAGCCAATTTGCGGGCAAACCCCATCAGTTCTTAAACTCAGATATTTCAGAAAACGACGCTGTACCTGCTCGAGAGCATTAATATGTGCCGCATAAAACGGCGACCATACAATTGATGCATACTCTAGCTTTGATGTTACAAAAGCATAATAGAGTAGTTTTAATGTGTTACTATTGCTAAAATCTCTAGTATTACGCACAATAAATCCCAAGGCCTTAAACGAAGATTGAACGACTTCAGATATATGCTGAACGAAAGATAGTTTAACGCCAATTAAAAGTTACCTCTTGATATTTTGTCGAATTCGGCCTCCTTGATGATATAAACGCAATTTTATTAATCACAATTAATAAGATTAAAATAAAAATATACATATTTTACCTAATTTATTATTAAACGTTATTACTATTAGTTACTATTACTATTAGTCCAACCTACAGCAATTTCAAATAAAAAATAATGGTATCTAAGATAATTACAAAAAACCTAATTTTAAAAAATGTTAACATCCTGTAACTCTAAAACTATGCATTTCGATACCCATGTGTATAGGAACTTTTTTTCATATTTTTTGATTGGGAATCAATGAGTACTTATTTAGAACTTTCGCAAGTTAATGATATTATTTTTTTTAAAAGTTGCTATTATAGACTTGGATCAAGGCAAATTAATAAAATTGTTTTTATCTCATCAAGGAGGCAGAAATCGACAAAATATCAAAGACAAGTTTTAATCGGCATTAAACTGCTTACACTATTTCTCTAACAAGAGAAAAAAATCAGTGGCGTACATTCTTTTTTTAAAAAAATATTTTTTTAACCCATAGGTATGCACTAAAAGCACTTTGAAGAAATTTATAATAAATCGAAAAAATATTAAGACTTTAACACCCTGTAGCTACGAAACAAAGCAGAATCGGACCTATGTTGTTGACCTATGAGAAATCTGCCCACGAGAGATGGCACATGTTTTTTGAAACACCCTGTATAAAATAAATAATCACGTGGAAGTCACTCCATAAGTCACTCGAATAAGGGCAACTTAAACTGCAACGCAACCGCGACCACGAGAAATGGTTGCAAACAACAGGTTATAGTGACTGATACTATTATGCGCTATTTATAAATATTTTTTTTTACGAAAATCAGATGTTTTTTAAGAAGTTAATGAAGGTTAAAACACGGTTTTTTCCATTGTTGTGTCGACTTTAATTATTTTTATTAGCATGCCAGGTGTAAAAGGTTACCTACTAGCAGTGCTAAAAATCTTGAAAAATCCCAATATACAAGTTAAGTAGAATAAGATTTGTTTTGTCAAGGCAAACTTGTCACAAGGCAAATAAAATATAAAAAGAAGAGTCAGTGACAAGTCAATGACAGTTTCTAGGGAAAAACTTGTTACGCCACTGGATTCTACATTACGTATTACCCTTGTATATATACAAGGGTATTACTATTCTATATTACGTTATAAGATAACTAAGATACGAAAAGGGTCGATAAATGCAACAGTTTCAAATTTGCCCTGTATTTCAAGATCTAAGAGGGCTATGACAAGTGTGTAGCATTTTTAGTTCCATAAAAAAGTAGCGAGTGATGTGAAAACCGTATCTGTGACCGTATCTTAATTTGTACTCATAAGCGGAGATAGATACCCTATAAAACGCACAAAAATGGGACACCCTGTACATATACTACATTTTTGTCAGAAGTAAGCTAACTAATAATGATGGATATCTGATAATTCGGTTAGTTTATTATTTTACATAGCATCTTTCAATACTACAGGGGTGTCTCCCAATATTCCGTGGATACATTTTACTTCTATACAAAAGTGCATCATTTGTCTTTTAGATGGCATCTAACGGAAGTAATTATAGATATATGGACATATTGGGATACCCTGTATATCAAACAGTTTTTTCAACATTTAAATTTATTTTTCGTGAATCGAAAAAATTCGAATATTCTCCTTAATAGAAAAAGTAAATGTATAAAAGCAAATATAAAGCACAACAGTGAGAAGAAAAATAAACTAATAAAGAGAAAAAATCGTTTGTGATGATCTTTTTCTATGATATGGTTCTGTAATAAGTCAGTGAGTAATTTATAATAGGCAACATACTCAATAGCCTAAATATGAGCTTATAATTCATTTTTTGGATTCAGATTTCTGTTACAAAAGTCAATGTTTCCTTAATTTAATTTTAAATATTTCAATAAAAATTTGTGCGCTTCTTTAAAAAATACCGTATGATCGAAAAAAAACGGCGTCCAGTTGGCTGGGAAATGACGATCGATGAGATTTCCCATATAAATTTACATATAAAATGACAGCGATCTTCATTTCCCAGCCAACTGGACGCCGTTTTTTCTCGATCATACGGTACTTTGAATTTAATAAAACTGTTGAATTTTCCCGAAAATCAAAACGCGTTTTTATGGTAATATCAATTTGTAGGTTTTCATTCTTTGATAGATGGTTATTCTTAATTTTGATTAACGTCAAATCTTTTGCTGTTTTAATATGTGAAAGAGAGAGAGAGAAGCACAAAACTTATTTAATTCAAATCTACGGAAAATGGATGATTATATATTTTGTGCTTCTTTAACATTTTAAAACAACAAAAGATGACGTGAATCAAAATTAAGAATAACCATCTATGAAAGAATGAAAATGAAATGTTATTACCAAACCGCTTTTGTTTTTTGGGACTTAGAAAAAGTTCAGCTATATTTCCTATTTTTCTCTCAAACGGTATGGAAATTTGAAAAAGTATAAACGGGATTAATCATATTAAAAGAAGCAAAACTATTTATAAAGAATGCAGTTGTCTGAAAATGTTAATAACAAAAAAGTGTTTTCTCTTGTAAAGACCATCCGGAGACATACTGTAGAATCTTCACCTTAATAGAGTAAGAGTATAAAAGCAAATAAAGTAAACAATCAGATAACAAATTTAAAAAATTATAAAGAGAAAAAAGTGCAAGAGAAACGGATTAGCATATTTAATATTAATTTTATATTTATAAAAAATCATGGATATAAATGAATATTTAAGAAGTTTTCTAAAAAAAATAATGAGGTGAGGTAATCGTTTGTGATGATCTTTTGTTCTAATTTAGTTCTGTAATAAATGAATGAGTAATTTATAAAAGGTGACATACTAAATAGTCTAAAATAAGTTTGTGTTTGTGTCCCATAAATTTACCTTTTCATAGTTAATTTAATAATTGGATTCATATATTTCTCTTATAATTAACAAGTGAGTGTTCCTTTAATTTAATTTTGAATATTTAAATAAAAATGTGTGCGCCTCTTTAAAAAAATACTTCTAAAACTGTTTTATAAAGTAGTTGGCGATGATCTCATTGCTAGGTATATAGACAATCCCCAGATTCATCATTTTCTTTGTATCAACTTACCCTATGCTGTTCGTGATTAAGATGTCCATCGTGTTGATGTCCATCCTGTTGACCTAGGACACTAGCTAGAACCACCGAAAATACAAAAACCAACTTCAGATACGACATGGCTTTATTGTAAGCCTTTTAAACGAGATTCTTCGGGAGGAGGACGCGTTGAACTGCTACCACCAAGCGGGCTACGAAACTAACAAACAAAACAAGCGGAATAACGGTAGAAAAGCGGTTGAAGCTCGCCGGACGCCGCTTGGTCAAGTGGTATGGGACGCACAAGAGAAACTACCGAACTGTTGCGACGCGCGCCACTGGAGAAGGCTGCTGATGGTGCGTGTTGAAAATAAAAAAAAAATGAAATTTCTGTCTAATTTTTAATAACAAGCACATTTAAAAACGCTAATTTAATATGTAATATAGGTACATACATTATCCCGAGATTATACAGGATATTTCAAGATACATGTGCCATCTCTCGTAAAAATAAAAAGAGTTATTTTTCATCTCAACATGGGTCCGATTCTGCTTTGTTTTGTAGCAACAGGGTGTTAAAGTCTTAATAATCTTTCGATTTATTATAATTTTCTTCCAAGTGCTTTTAGCCCCGATTCGAATGAAAATTGGAGGGTAAAAGTTACTAAGAGTGCTATCTATATACCGGGTGCGTCTCAAAAGTGGATCACCCCTATAACTTTTTTATTTTTACAGTTAATAAAAACGATATTTGGTACGTTAGTATATGACATAAATTAGGATTGATTGACGTATTCAATTGTTTTCGGTCACTTCCTGTTTCACCGGAAATGACTACAACTTTTGATTTTTAAATGTCACCTTCGGTATTTTTTTACTTTATTCGATAGGAAATAACACTCTGAATAGAATGACATATCATATGTCAACTTTTGACGTTTTCGTATATGCTTTATTTCAAATTATAACTTACGGTTCGTAACGAAAATTTTACTCGAAATACCAAGTGTGTGGTACCAAATTATTCTTAAAAAATGCTTTTTCCAAATATGCTAATGAGCCACCCTCGTTCCATTTGAAAAAATTGAGATATGATTAAAAATACGATTTGAGCATTTTCTAACTGGCCAGGACAAGACACTAAAAACATTAGACGATCAAATATATTTTATTTTTCGAAGGCTCCTTGATTAAGAATTAGTGTTTTTAACATAACCATGGCACTCTAAATTGAATTTTAAAATTCAATTTTGTTTTAAACTAGAATGTCAAAAGTTGACAAATGATAAGTTAGGTATTCTCTTCAGAATGTCATTTTCTATCGAATAAAGTAAAAAAAAATACCGAGGGTGCCATTTAAAAATCAAAAGTTGTAGTCATTTCCGGTGAAACAGGAAGTGACCAAAAACAATTGAATACGTCAATCAATACTAATTTATGTCATATACTAACACACCAAATCTCGTTTTTTTATCTAAAAAAATAAAAAAGTTATAGCGGTGAGCCACTTTTGAGACACACCCGGTATACTTTTATGCAAAAAGGTGTCGACAGATTCACCAGGGACGTGCATATGGGTTATCACTGGAATATTTTTCTGAAAAAAGCATGTACGCCATGTATGTATAGATGTATTTGTTTATTAGAAAAAGTGTGTAGGCTATTTATTAAGGCCGATTAAAAGTTGTATCTTGATATTTTGTCCATTTCGATCTCCTCTATGAGATAAACGCGCAATTTTATTAATCGTAATTAATAAAATTCACATAAAAATAAAATAAATAAATTATTTATTTATTTAATGTAATTTATTACTTTTATTAAAATTTTCACACTAATGTACAGCGCTACCCACAGCAAATTTTCCCAAAAAATAATGGCATTTAATTAGTTTTTTATATAGTATTAATTTCTTTTTCTGTAACATGAAAACTATGCATTACCGCACCCATATGTTTATAGGAACTTTTTTTATATTTATGAATCAGGGAATCAATGTGTACTTATTTAACATGTTGACAAGTAATTTTGCAGGATAAACGACCTATCACACCTTGACCGCCTGGACGACCTATAACATGGTGGCCAAACCTATAAGATGGTATGAGAGCTGGTCTTCATCATCCCAATTGTTCCTAGGAAACCCTTGAAGAAAACACAGGACTTAGTCCTAACGTATGAAGAAGAAAAAATATTTTTTTAATACGTGCTAAAAGAGCCTATTTTATTGGCGCACGTCTTATATGTGTCTTTATCTGTACTGTAGAATTAAGTACATATATATGCATATATCTTTCAGGACCACCCAGTGTATGCAACAGCTAATGTACCGTTTATAACCAAGCGAGCTTTCATTGACAATTAAAAAATAGTATATTGCTTTATTAGAAGTAAAAATTTAATGATACTTTTTGTGGCGAAGCTGTACTTTGACATTACAGGCGAGGCACAAAAACTAATTTTTACTCCGAATAGAACATCCTATTTTTTAACTACCTTGTAAGTAATTATTTTGTAGTCATACAATGATCATACATATATCAAGAAACAATATGGTTACACTCGTACAATGAATTTGACACTTTATGTCAGTTTAATAATATATTTCCAGTTTTATAACTAAAATTCTAATGTAATTTCGCATATAATTGTCTATTTATCATTCAACCCATATTCAACCATCTCTTTTTGATAGAGCTTTTTAATCATATCGTTTAATAATTATTTGGTTAAACAAATTGATTTGTAGAATTAAGTGTATATATTTCAGAATCACTCTGTATATACAGCTAAAGGTGAATTTATTGAATTTATTTACTTCCATCATCCATCCGTTCCGTCACACCAATCATGTTGAAGTATGGTGTGTCATTTTTGAAATAAACCAATAAAACTGCATAAAATTAACTACAGAAGAGGCATGTACCGTGTGATAAAAAAAAACGGCGTAAAAATACCTTTGTCCGAATGTAAAATTATTTGGAAAATGTAATCGATTTCACACACACACACACACACACAACAAGTAGCTCTACAAAACTCACTACAAAACATCATTCTCGAATTAGTTTAAAATCGAATAAAAAAGAGGGAATAGCTTAAGGGGATTAGCGATTTTTTCTGGTTTTAAATTTTATTAGTAATGGGCATTTTCACATATGTACGAAAGTTCGAGTCACAGGTTGGAATAAGCAGAGGAATAAGTAAATACATATTTAGTTTATTTTTTCTTTAATTATTTACTACGTAGGTTTATTCACTACACATATTTTACAATTACTACATGTGATTGTAAAATATGATGTTAATTTTAATTTTTTTTATAATTTTGTGAATTCGGTGCAATATTTTTTTTTCAACTGTGATAGACAAATGTGATTATATGACTCAACAGTCTCATCGGATTTTACCCGCCTAATGTTGATTTTAGTAAAAATAATATTTTTTGACTTATAGTTACTACTAACTAGCCTACTAGTATAGTTTGTGAACTGTTATGTAAAAAATTTGTAAAAACCAAAAACTGTAAATTAACTTCAACAAATTGTGTACAAAATTCAAAATTATATACAGGAAAAAATAATGAGTTGTTTCAAGTTTCCATACTGTTTCAATACTCTGAATATGACAAATTAAAAAATCGATACTCTGTGTACACCTAGCAAAAAAATCATATTTGAAATGAAACTCCTTACTAACAGCTATTTTGTAGGATTTTAATTAAAAAACAGTTTTTTTGCGTGTAACAAATAGTTTTTTACGTTTAACAAATAGTTTTTTTAAAGGTAAAAAATTATTTTTTACCCGTAACAAATAGTTTTAAAGAGTAACAAATAGTTTTGTAGGGATAAAATAAAAAAATTATAAATACTTTGATTCCCTTTCACACAATTTGTATTAAAAAGCAATATTTTTGATAAACACGTGGACCGCTCACAAATACACGTCGCGTCACTCAGCATTTCTAAAGTCGTCGGCTGTCCTTAGCAGTTTTTCGATCGTTACCACTAGCTCGTGTGTCAAGGCCGTCTCGCTAGCTCGCGTGTCACTGCTCACGGTCTTGAATTTTTACTCCCAGCGCGTGTAAAAAAGTTTCACTTCAGAAAGCAAATTTGATAAGTAAAGTCTGAAGTGGGGCGAATGAGCTTCGACGTTTCATCTTTCCAGACTTTTTAGATTTCGTATCGAACTTAAGAGTAGACATCGATAATTCCCATCTCTAATAAACGCAGCGCCCTCTTCTACTTCAAGAAAAGTCAAATGTCACTTTTGCCGGATTGTTTCTATGTCTGAAAAAGGTGTTAAGTGTGTTTTGAAAAAATATTTATTTATTTTTAAGGACCATGGATAATTCAACGATATTCGAAGGGTTGAAAAAGTTCTTCAGATTTGATACGTTCAAATCTAAACTACAGGAAGAAGCAGTCATTGAAGTTTGCCAAAGTATTTTGTTTTTTGTTTAAATATAGATATTTTTTATCTACATTCATAATAAATATTGCAGGAAATCACGATGTATACATTTCAATGCCTACAGGAGCTGGAAAATCGTTATGTTATCAACTTCCAGCAGTACTGCATGATAAAATGATAACAATAGTTTTTTCACCACTACTTGCATTGATTAAAGTGAGTTTTGTAATTTTATTGTAAACTAATAAATTACTGACATTATCAAACTAATTCCTTTTATGTTTTTATCTCAGGATCAAGTAGATTCGTTGATAAGTTTAAAAATAAGGGCAGCATCATTGAATTCAAAGATATCAAAAAATGAAAGGGAGAGCCTTATTGCCGATCTAAAATCAACTTCCCCTAATACTAGGCTATTATATGTGACACCCGAACAAGCTGCTACCAAAACATTTAAGGTATAACAGTTGTTTTTGTTAAACAAATTTTATACATTATGTTTCTAGGAACTGTTTGCTAATTTATATAAATTTAACAAAATTGCATATATAGTTGTGGACGAAGCTCACTGTGTAAGCGAATGGGGTCACGATTTCAGACCTGATTACCTGAAATTGGGAAACTTGAGAGAAAACTGCTCAGTACCTTGTATTGCCTTAACTGCTACAGCTAGTGCTCAGGTAAAAGATTATATACCATCCTGGACACTTCATCTGCGTGGTCTATATTTTAATGCATGCGACAGAGATAAATTTAAATAACTGGTTGACACACAGAGAGACAAAATAAAAAGCAGCTGGTTTCTACGTGTGTAGGAAAATGTGTGTTTAAAAAAAGAAACTATTTTAAAAACTTCCATGTATAGTGCTGAAAAGAAGAAAATATATCTAAGCTAAATATAATCTATTACAGCTGTAGTAAAGTGAATAGATGCAACATTTTTCATAAATGCCTACTTGTGCAGTTTGAAATTTTGATGCAAAATCTGGAAATACTGCATAGAAGAAATGTATCAACCCAACTTTTATCTCTTTAATACATTTGACAAAATCCAGACCACGCTTTTATGATGACCAGAATGGTATAATAGGAAAATCAATAAAAGTTGGCATGTCATCAAAGTATCTGAGGAATGCACATTCCAATATTGCCATAGCTGCTTTTTTTACTTTGTCAAGGGTTAAACAAAATATGTAATTTTGTCACAATTTTTCACTTCAATTTTTTTTATATCTACATTATTACTTTGTGTATGATAATTACACAAACAAATTCTAATTAAATGAAGTTATTAGCAAGTTTTCTGAAGGAAAGCTGAAAATTGAATATTGCACATTGCAATATTCAATTTTATATTTACAATTGGTTATCATTAGTCCACTTTTTATGAGATTCTATAAATTACTTCTATTATCTATGATTTTACTCCCAGTCAGGCTCAATGGTAAGAGGGTCCCAGATGGGTTTTTAGTAAAATACAAATACCCCCAGTCTGTAAACTAATATTGAGTGGCTGAGTGCAACAAACATGCTGAAAGATCTACGTATTTTCTTTCAGTAAAAGCTGCAAAACTTAAGCAACAGTATAAATTTTTATCTCTGTTATGCAGTTTAATTGTAAAAGGAGCACACCATGATCTCTTTCCTGTCCAAAATAATACCCAGTAGTAAAGTTGTTGTAAAAAATAATACTCAGTAGAGTAAAGACCAGACAAGTTGTTGATTCCGACTATTTAGTGGTTTTGGCATTTTCCTGCAATAAAAATCGTGGTTTTAACTCAACAAAACGCAGACTTAATAATAAAAAAAACTCTAATAATAATAAAATTAAAAATAGACTGTAAGTAAAGTATTAAATAATTCTGGTAATTTAAAAAAATATATATTTAATACTTTACTATCAGAATACTACTATATATTTAATACTTTACTATCAGAATATACTACTTTACTATCAGAATATAAACGAAAATAAAATAAAAAAGTGTTTGATCTGACCCAGATTCGAACTCTGAATCATCGGTTCGTGGTCGGAAACTCTACGCACTGCGCTATGGAGACATGTTCGATTTATATTCAATACTAGAATTTAAAGGACTAATAAAAATATAGGATCTTCTTTCAATGCGCAGTAAGGAACGCAACGTTTACCGGCAGCCAGACGGGCCGCATGGTGTTCTAGAGAGCATAGTAAAAGATATATCAAAGAGTCAGACGTCTTAAAATACTTGTTTTTCCGACGTTGCTAACTCTCGTACTAATAGTTTCTAATGTCTTTAATGTCTTTGAGGACAAGCACGCCCACTTTTGTTGATTTCTCTACAGGGTGTTTTTCGATAGTGGCTCACCCCTATAACTTTTTTATTTTTTCAGATAAAAAAAAACGAGATGTGGTATGTTGATATATGACATAAATCTGGATCGATTTTTGATTTTGATTGATGTATTCAAATATTTTTGGCCACTTTTTGTTTCACTGGAAATATCTATAAACTTTTATTTTTATTTGGTACCATCGGTATTTCTTTACTTGATAGAAAATGACATATCATATGTCAACCTTTGACATTTTCAATTAAAAAAAAATGGCTTAAAAAATGTTTAGAGTTGAGAGTTGGAACCTTTGGTGTTAAACAGCAAATAAAACACTAATTCACCACAATACACCGATGATTACAGCAGATGATTAAAACTCTAAACCGGTTTTAATCATCTGCTGATGATGCTAACATGGTTAGCGCAACGCGTGTCCAGTGCAAAAGTAAAGTGTTTCGGTGTATTGTGGTGAATTGCTGTTTTATTTTGCTGCCATGGCTGTGTTAAATTCACTAAATTTTAATCAAGTAGCCTTGTCAAAAAGAGAAACTGTCAAAAGCTGACATGTAATATGTCGTTCTATTCAGAATATCTTTTTCTATCAAATAAAATTAAAAAAAATACCGAGGGTACCATTTAAAAAGACAAAGTAGTCATTTCGGTGAAACAGAAAGTGACAGAAAGTAATTATTAAAAACGTCAATCAATTCTAATTTATGTCCTATACTAACACACCAAATCTTTTTTTTTATTTAAAAAAATTAAAATGTTATAGGGGCGTGACTTTTAAAAACACCCGATATATTAGTTGAGAATGGTTAAAAGAACTTAACTTGTTTTAGGTAACCAAAGACATCATTAAAAGTTTAAAATTAACCGATCACAAAACATTTAAAACATCATGCTTTAGGAGTAATTTATTCTATGATGTATATTTTCCTAATATGCTCCCAGACCCTTTTGTTCATCTAAAGCAATTTATCGAAACCTGTCTAAATTTCGAGAGTGAAAAGGACCTGCCTAAAAATAATAAATCTTGTGGCATAATTTATTGTAGAACAAGAGAAGAAACTGAAGTTTTAGCTTCTAAGTTGAATTCAATGAAAATTAAAACACTGTGTTACCATGCCGGGTTGAAAAACAGTGAACGGTTAGAGTTTCAAGAGAAATGGCAGGATGGTGATGTTCCTGTAATTTGTGCCACTATAAGTTTTGGAATGGGTGTGGATAAAGCTACTGTGAGGTAAATAACAATTTATTTAAATATATCTTGATAATCTTTATATCTTTAATAATATAATTAAAGATTTTTGACGCCAAGATAAAAAAATCAAAAGGCGATTCTATGGTACATAATATAATTTCGATTTCATTCTTTGACACATGATTATTAATTTTGATCTTTGATTTTGATTAACGTCAAATTTTTTGCTATCTATGGTTAGAGTATCACATTTTCTGATAACTATTACCACCCTTTCCATTGAACTTAATAAATTTTGTGCTTGTTTAACATTTTAAAACAGTAAAAAATACGACGTTAATTAAAGTTCTATCAATATTAATCTATCAAAGGATGAAAACGAAATTATATTACCATAGAAAAGCCTTTTCATTTTTAGGACTTAGAGAAAATTCAACTATATTTTCATGGTTTTTTTTACTTTTTTCTAAAACGGTAAAGAAATTTGCAAAAGTATAAACGGGATATGAACGATGTGTGAAAACGTTTCAGAACAAGCAAAAATTTTTGTGAGGTTTTTTCTTTTTTATTATTGACATTTTTCTGAAAATGTCAATAATAAAAAAGGTTTCCTCTTGTAAAGACAATCTGGGGACATGACTTCTATATTAGGCTATAGCGGGTAAACTTCAATTCAGGTAGCTTTTATTGAAATTTAAAATTTGTTCTTCATTTCCAAAAACCTTTAATTTTAGTCATATGTTTCTCTAATGAAACTCATTGGCGTAACTAAAGGGGGGCCCGTGGGTGCCGGGACCCCCCCATTTTCTGCTGGGCACCCCCCCATATCATATATGTATATAGGGTGTTTCATTACAAAAAACGCGAGTTTGGTGTATAACTTTTTTGGCGATACCCTGTAAAACCCTATATACTTTTAGAAGATACTCTAAATAAACCTACTTACGCTCACAAAATGTAATTTCTATACAAACCGTCGTTCTTTTTGAGGCCACCCTGTATTTAACTACAATAAGCATATAATGTTTAATCTTTGTAGGTTTGTTGTACATTGGGGTGTACCAAAAGATCCCGCATCCTTTTATCAGGAATCAGGAAGAGCTGGAAGAGATGGCAAACCGTCTTGGTGTAGAGTTTATTACAACAGACAAGATTCAAAAGCAGTTGAGTTTCATTTAACTCAAGACCTTGCCAAATGTAAACAAAAAGAAGATAAGAAGTTAAACATTGAAAATGCAATAAAGGGATTTAAAAAAGTTTTAGAATATTGTGAAAATCCAATGTAAATTTAAATATTCTATAACGATTATAAAATTAATTTTACTTTAAATTGTAGGGAATGTAGACATGCTCTTTTTTCCAAGTATTTTGGAGAAGAACTACCAGAGTGTAATAAAAATTGTGATTGGTGTAAGGATAAAACTGCTGTCCAGCAAATGGTGGAACAGTTTCACATTAAAAGTGTTCAGTTCAGCACAAATGTCAGCTCTTATAATAACATGGATTACGGAGATTTGTATGGAGAAGGAAGAAAAGGCATTCAAGAGTAAGATCCTCGCTATATTAGCTATCTTTTTATACAAAAAATACCATATTATTGAAAAAAAAACGGCGTCAAAGACGGCTGGGGAATGACTTCTTCTAACAGTGCCATACCCTATACAGAGCGTCGGCTACCTCTCGCATGTACTTGTGATGTGTGTCATCAGTGTTTCACAAATACACGGGACCTACAGTTTAACGCCGAATCCGAACGGCACTATTTGAGAGGCTGTACAAGGCAAATATACTTAAGGTGGTTTGCCATTGCCTTCCTTGAGGTGGCGGCTCGCTGGTCGCTCTATTTAGATAAATAAATATTTTTATTTAAATAAATAAAGCGACCGTACTGGCTGGGCATCGAATCCAGTACATCTCGCACCGTAGATCGACACACTACTGCTTGCGCTACGGCCGGTTTCTAAGTTTTTAAGTTTTAAGTGTCAGTTTTTTTGTAAATTACGTTTAGAATTGAAATTTTCAATTGTCGTTCCCAGCTGTCTTTAACGCATTTTTTTGGATGGTATTGTATTTTAATAGTATTTTTTTAGCGAAACAAATGAAAGAAGAGGGCAGGGTGACAGTGATGATAGCGACGACGGTAGACAAGCCGCTTTCGAAAGAGAGCAAGCTGCAAAAAAGGAAACAGCCTCATTCATAGAGAAACAATTTGAATTGAGAAGAAATCCTCACGTAATACATAGTTCGTATCACGTTACTTTTCCCCGTTTTGACGTTTGACATTATACGCAGTACAGCCTGTATCAGGGATAGGCGAGTAAAAAACCGTAACGTAGAAAACATGAATTTTATGTGATTTTTTACGTTTTGTGAAATTGTAAGACAGGTTTGTAAAAATGCTGTTAACAGTTAATGACAGATAATAATATGATAAAAATATCGTGGAATTAAAGACTACAATTTCATTGTATAGTCTATTTTTTTTATCTGTCATAATATTTATTTTTTTTGTGTAGAAACAACAGAAAATGTATGTTGGGAACGAAGAGAAATATTTTTTTTTACATTTAATTGCATTTTTACATGTATTTTACTTCAAAACGTTAAAAGGGAAGAAACTCGTCAACGCCCATCCATGGTGTGTACTACTTGAATAATATGATCGAAAAAAAACGTCAGAATTGGTTTATAAAGGAGGATCGCCGTCATTTTATATGTAAAATTACATGGTGAATGCCATATAATGTAATTTCTAAGCTAACATGACGCCATTTCTTTTCGATTATACGGTTCATTTTTGTAGCATTCAGAAGAACATCAGAGATATAAATTCTTCAAATAATTAAAGTTACGTTTTCAATTAAATAATTTTAGACCAGGGAGATGGGCGATTGAAAGTGAATGTAGTAATAATAGTTTTTGGTAGACTTTACATTTTACAAAAACGTTAAAATCTTATATGACCTTTGTAAGTAATATAAGCCTAAAAATTATATGACCTTTGTAAGAAAGATATAATTTATTTCACTATGTTTAGTATTTTTTTTGATAATATCTTTTATTTTGTGTAGATATCGAAATTTAGGCAGCAACAATAGAAAATGTGTGCTGGAAGGAAAAAATTTCATTTTTATCAGTTTTCTTACTGTTTTTTAATGTTTACATGTTTATTTTCCATCAAAACACAAAAAAGGAGAAAACACGCGTTTAATCCCATCTCTGAATTACACTAACTTATTGTTATGTAAAAAAAACTGCTTGCTTTGATAGATTAAGTTTCGCCATTTTGGGAAAAGTAACGTGATAAGGACTATAGCTAAAGCCACGCTCAGACCTTGTGACAGACCTCAGACTCGTGTACTTGGCAAACATTTGTTATTGGCATACAGGGTTCGGCGATAGTGCGTCGGGCATCTGTAGCTCCTATAATAAACAACTTAGAAATTTTATATAAGTGCCGACCTAAAGTATGTAACGTATAGTATGTAATGTATAGTTTCCATTTCAGGACATTTCTCGTATTTTTTATAATTTAAAAAAAAGACTGAAAAAATATATTTTTTAATTTATTAATCTGCCTGAACCAAACCAAACCTAACCTAACCAAATCAAAACATATTTAATAATATCTTAGGATTATGTAATGTGATTAGAAAGCAATAGCATACAGTGTCTTTCATTTAAAAAAATCATCGCGATCCACTCACACATTTTTGAGCCATCCTGTAGAAATTAAAATATTTTCCTGAAATCCATCCTAATACATACTTCAGGTTTGTACTTACACAAAATTTCTAAGTTGTTTATTATTGGAGCTACAGATGCCCGACGCATTATTCCCGGACCCTGTATGCCAATAAAAATGTTTGCCAAGTACACGAGTCATCAGAGTCCGGCTTAAGACTAGATGACCCCATACTTTGAATTTACTTGATTTTTATTTTTAGGAAGTTTCTCACGAAACTCTAGATAAATTAGCGTCAAAATATGCCCTTGTCAAATCTGCTGCAGCCACTTCTCGTAAAATTAAAGGCTTAACTGTTCTCACTAGAGAGCAATACATGACGAAAATATTTGACGTGTTGCACACCAACTATATTAAGTGCGCTCCAACGCAAGTTTTCGATAAAAAAGATGTGGAAGATTGTTGCATCGATTTGGAGTATGAAATATTTACATCTACGTCAAATATGATGATGTATAGGAATGGTTTAGCCAAACTAGTAAGTTTATTATCGAGAATAATACCGTGTGATCCAAAAAAACGGCGTCCAGTTAGTTTGGAAATGACAATCTGGCATTGCCCATATAAATTTACTTAAAAAATAACAGTGATCTTCATTTCTAAGTCATCTCTGACGGCGTTTTTTCTCGATCGTATGGTATGTTTATAGTATTTTGCAACATAAATAGATTATAAAGTCTGTCCGACGAGTCAGGAAAATTTTGACAGATGACATCCCAAAAATGATGGAAAATACAGTTTACTTGTGAGGGTGCATCCACACTATCCTAGAAAAAGCGGAACGGCATATCGGCGTAACGACCTTGAATCGATTTCCAGTAATTCTATTGGCTGAAATTTTTGACAGATGAATTTGACAGATAAAATTTCTGACAGATGAATTTTTCAGCCAATAGAATTGCTGGAAATCGATTCAAGGTCGTTACGCCGATACGCCGTTCCGCTTTTTCTAAGATAGTGTGGATGCACCCTGAATTCAAATGACAGAAAACAACTGTCACTATTATGTGTCTCACTTTGGACAGACTTTTGAATAAAAATATTAAGGAAGGAGTATATGAAAAGATTTTGATCGAGCACGATGGGAACCAAAGATGGCCGACTTAAATTCCGTTTTATCAGTGCCGTTCTAATTTTATTTAAAACGTGTAAAAATATGATGTAGGGTAGACTCAATAATTTGTTGTTTCATTTTACGTTGTCAATAAATGTTGGTAGTTACTAAAATTGTTATAAAAATATATAATTCTGATAAAAACAGATAGTTATAATAATTATTTAATAACACAAACATTCAAGATACGTTACTGAAGCAGGTAAGTCAAATTGACGTATCTAAACTCTTTGACATCTAATCTTTGACAAGTACCTAGTAAATAAAAGCAACAATGCAAGAAAAAAAATTATAATTAGTTAATTTTAAGTGAATTTCATAAACGATCGGTTTACTACACGTATATACAGGGTGGTCCGAACTGTATTCCGGAAACTTCGGCAGCATATTCTGCAGATAAAAATAACTAAAAAAGTTTGTATAAATGTATGTCCAAAAATGCTTAGTTTCAGAGATACAGGGTGTAGAATTTACATTTTTATTTCGATTTTTTCCAAATAATGTCTGAAATAACGTCAATATTTGGATGAAAATTGGTATCTGGGAGTTTTTTGACATGAGAAATTTGATTTTGATGTCAATATGACTCCTGCTATTAGAGGGCGCCACCTACATATTTTTTAACTGGTTTGAAGAGTAATAACTTTTAGTTCGTTCCTGTATAAAACTACTGAGTAAAAAAAATATACATTTACGACTTTTTTTACATAAAAAAGGTCTCTTGGTAAAAATCGTTACGAGTAATGGTTCTCGAGATATTTGGAATCAAAATTATCAATATCTGTCATCATTGACATAAATTCAATATGTTGACTAAATAGTTATTAGACTGAAATCATAAATTTGACAATTTTTGTGCCAAAAGTTGAACAGAAACTGTTCAATCATCAATTTTTCGCAAAAAATTTTATGATTAATTTAAAAAATTAAAAATTTATTATTTCAGTCAAATAACTATACTCAACGTGTGCTTATTTTTTGTCAATAAAGACATGTATTGACTATTTCAATTTTAAATATCTTGAGAACTGTTGCCCCTAGCGATTTTTATCAAGAGACATTTTTTACGTGGAAAGTCATGGAAATGTATATTTTTTCAGTCAGTAGTTTTATACAGGTACGGACGAAAAGTTATTACTCTTCAAAACAGTTAAAACACATGTAGGTGGCGCCCTCTACAAATAGGAGCCATTTTGACGTCAAAATCAAATTTGTCATGTCAAAAAACTCCTAGACACCAATTTTCATCCAAATATTGACGTTACTTCAGAAATTATTTGGAAAAAATCGAAATAAAAATGACATTTCTACACCCTGTATCTCCGAAACTAAGCATTTTAGGACATACATTTATAGGAACTTTTTTACCGTGTTTTATCTGCAGAATATGCTGCCGAAGTTTCCGGAATACAGTTCGGACCACCCTGTATATTATATAGTCACTTACTATTGAAAAGTTATTTCCATATTATATTGCACGACAATGTGACGTCACATGTATCGTTGGTTGCATACAACTCACTAAAAAGACATCAAATTCGATTTTATATTAAAAATAATATTCACCATTAAAAAAGGCTAACCAAAGCAACCAAAACTGATTCGTGCAACTTTGTGTCGATTGACAGTCAATTTTTATTCGCAAGAGCCTCGGCTACTATCAAATTTTCGCCACTGTGACGTCATATTGTCGTGCAAAATAAAATTATGAACCGCACGCAAGAACGGTAAACTATACTATCATATCTATACTGCATACATATAAGGTGTTTAAATAAATAAACTAAATAATGAACGTTTTGCATTCGGCAACCAATAATGCACGTGTGTGTATTATTGGTTGCCGGATAAGGACTAATATCAAATACGTTTAAATCAAATACGTTTAAATAAAATTATTATTTAACATAAATAAAATTGTTATTTTAAACGTATTTGACTAATAACCATGACAAGGGCTACAATGACGTCACAAAGCGAGTAGTTTTCGCATGCACCTGGCGGACACTTTTGGCTAAATGAGCAGTCCTATTAGGTTAACTGTTCTTGCACCGCACGCTACACAGCCAACTATTTTTCAGTCTTTTGACAAATATGTCAATAAAATAAAAAAATATTTATTATCAATGGTCAAACAGTGACAGTTATTAAAATGTATTTTTTAGTCAGTTAGTTAACTGAGTTGATAAAGAAGCTTTAGTAATCTTTAAATGTATATTTAAGTTTTCATTAATGTGCAGAAGCTTACTGCGTAAAAATATAAATATTCTACACGTAAAAACAGTTTTTTACGTCAAGGATTTTTACTCACTCATCTCTTGTAAAAAAGTATGTTATTTTACACGTAGCAAACAAGATTTTTAATTTTTTACGCGCCCATCACTAATTTTACTACAGCCTTTTTATAGTTCTCGTAATTCGTAATATAATGGTGTTTTGTAGGTATTCTATCTGCGGTAATGCTTAAAATACATACATTTATTAGTTGATTAATAAATTTATCGATTTCATGTAGCAATTTAATTTCTTCTGTAACAAATATTCTATGATAATTATTTTAATTTTTCTTTCTATATCCTTCGCATTAGTTAATTAAGGTACCTTGAAATTATTTTTATTTACAAAAATTAAAAATTATACAAAAACAAATAAAAAATATTTATTTTGATGATATTTTTCTAAATATGGCAACATTGCAAAATATATTTCAGAAATTCGGCAACTCTGTTCACATTTGACATTATTGACATAACAAAACGTCAAATGTCATTAATTGTCAACTACTGTTTTCAACGCAATAATTGGATTATTTTAGAAATTTGAGGATATTTTCAAGTAAAATTTATTTATTTAGAACCGAATCAAATGTAAGTTTATATTACTGATATTACAGATTTTCTGTACATTGTTACTTTAATACCACGCGGCACGTTTAGCCTAGTTATTTTTAGATCAGTGTCTTGATTGAACTTTTTTTATTTCTAGATTTCAAATATCAAAAAATCCACCGAAAACAGAACTGTGTATGAGAAATTAGTAGATTTTGAACCGAAACCGCCCAAGCACGAAACGTTAACCGATCTTTTTCGGAATATTAAGAAAGAACTGCAAAATAAAAAGGATCGTCGCTCTGAAGATGAAGATCCTGCTTGTGCTGTAGAAAGTGACTTGGAACATAGAGAAGAAAGTGCATCTTCAGATAGTTCTGATACACCGGTATTTAGGACAAGTACAGATATATTTAGTGATCAAAATAGTGATACAAAATATAAAAGTAGCTTTACTAAAGCAAGTGACTTATTAAATGAAGAAGAGTGTAGAAAATTAGGTATTAGTTCCCAAAGTAAAAGCGGTTTAGCTTTTACTGAAGATAAAACTGAAGAATTGTGTACAAGGAACGAAATGAAAAAGTCAAGTGACCTTAAAAACCTCTTTGGTGATTCTGATGACGAGTATGAAAGAAAAAGGGAAAGTAGATTAGAGAAATCTGAAAGATACGACGAGAGTGGTGGTAGTAGTTCTAGTAAACATGATAAAGACCATGAAGACTACAGATATAAAGATGGTAAGCATCGTAGAGACAGTGAACGAGATTATAGGCACAGGGAGAGGGATAGGGATAAACATCACGAAGACCATCACAGGAAGGAGAAACATAGACATGAACATGAGCGAAAAAGACATCACAGTCCTAACGAACATGGAGAAAGTAGCAAGAAAAGAAGATATGACGATAAAGATGAAAAAAGAATGGACGAATATAAGGATAGGTAGGTTTTTGTATTTATCATATTTTTAACAGATTAATAGTAATTTTATCTTTATGTTTTTTAAGATTGACAGAAAATGGAAGAAGTAAAGATGTTGAAAATGGATCTAATGTGGAGAATCAGGGAAAAAGTTTAATATTTAATAATATTGACGTTCATGATATAACAGAAATGAGAGAAGTTAATAATGGTGATGGGGGGTCAAGTTTACTTTCTTCTAAAAACAAAGATGAAGACGCTTACCATGAAAAACAAACTGAAATAGAAAAAGTATCAACTCAGGGGAATAATATCACCTCTCCTTCTGAATCTAGCTTAATACAACAGCAAAAAAATGAGATGAATCACATACTTAATCAATCTTTAAACGAGTCTTCTATTGAACAGAAATCCAATGAACAAAATGGGGAAAAAAGTAGTAACAGTGACGTTGAAAATAAAAAAGTTAAACCAAAACTTAAAAAAACTGAAACCGGGCTGCTTGTAGTGAAATTGTTGACTCCAGCTTATGCAAATAAAAGATTCGAATCCAGAGACATCTTTAAGAGTACGGCAAGAAAAATATCACATTCACTAGTTGATAAAGGTTGGTTAGGTTTAGTAATTTTTATATCATTAATATAATGATTTGAAATTTTTAGATGAGGATGAAATCAAGGAGTATGTGAAGAGATTTTTAAACAGAAACTTGGAAATAACTTCCAAGACAAGTATTTAGTGTACTTTTTGCGCGTAATGGAAACGAAATACAGCTATTTAGATTCACAAGAAGTTGTGAATTTTATTTTATTAAGAACCATGTTCTAATGGTTTAATCAAATGTAATTAGTTAAGGATATTATGTTATAAATTCTCTTTCTAAGTAAATGTACATTTTTAAATGATATATGCGAGCAAGAAAAAATATTAAATTTTGTATAAAGTGATTTTATTAATTTTTTTTTGGACTCGATATTGTAATTTTTGTGTGAATGATGTTATGTATAGTTAGTGCTTGGAGCAGGTGTGGATTCAAAATTTTGAGATGCTTGGATTCAAAATTTTAGTAGTATTTTTTTTAAATTGTTTTAGCTGCCTAATAAAATCTAACACTTTTATTGCATAATTTTTTTATTATATTTGTTATACAGGATGTGGCAAAAGGTTTGCATCCATTGGGCATGTACATTTTAATGAATTTTTTTTATTTATGCCTAATATATTTTTTTATTTTGACGTATCTATTTCATAACTGTTATGGTGGGATATTAAAGATTCTCTAGGCAAATGTGACGGTAGGTGACAAAGTTTGATAAATATACAGAGACTTTATATAGGTTCAAAAAACATTTTTTTTTGCTAAAATTATATAAGGCAAGGTAAATCCAAAGCATAATACAATAACTTTTGTTTACAGTCCCACACATACATACTGGTAAAAGATCAAAAATGTTATTTTTAAGATTCGAAACTTGTTTAATTGACTTATAGAAAAGAAAAACCTTAAAATATATATTTTTTTCATTTAGAATTTGGTGTCAGATTATTTAGAATGTCTATAGTGTTAATTTGATTGTGTTTGTTTAAAGTTTTTCTTTTCTATAGTCCATAATCCCACTTTTTGTATATTAAAAGAAGGTTTTTTTTATAATTTGCTGCCATGACAAAAGCCAATATGAACTTTATGGTACACCTTGTATGTTGCAATAGTCTATAGGTAGTCTCTGGAATGGTATATACTTAAAGAGTGTTATCTTCATTATAACTCTTATGTAACAATTTTATATATTTTTCCTCAAAAAATATTCTATGTTCTAGATAATCTAAGATTCAAATTCATATATTGTATAGTAATATTAACTATTTTTTGATACATTCTGATATTTACTAATTATATTTATACCTCTTTTGGATCCACAACTGCTTTCAAGCAATTTAGGAGACAAAATCTAAAGCAATTCGTAAGGTTTTTGATATTTACATGGTACATTGAATGAATTGCATTTTTTCTAAATAAAACTAAAAACTAGGTGCCCTAATTGTATGAAACAAGCTTTAACGGCATATTATATGATATAAAATGTTGCATGGTCAAAGAAAGAAGGCGCCATGTTGGCATAGAAATGGACAATCGCTATTTCTAAGTCAATTCTGATGCCGTTTTTTTTTATTGTATGGTATTTTTTATACACAAATAGGCCAGTAAGCGAGGATAAAAATAGGGTATTACCTCCGAATTCTTGACACCCGCACCGATTTACGTGAAATTTTAACAGTGAAGTGAATAGAGATATATGTAAGAAACAAAAGTTACATAGTAGCGATGTGTGCTTTCACCCTGGAGGTGAGTGTCACCCCTTCTCGGGGGTGAAAAATAAATCACCCATTTTAATTGCAAAAATCAATAAAGGGATGAATTCTAAGCAAAAAATATTCTATAACATTTTTTCAGAAAATTAATATTTTCCGAGTTATTTAGGATTGAAAATCTTGGTTTTTCATCTAAAAACTGCATATTTTTCTGCAATTTTTTATAAATAACTCGAAAATCTTGCGTTTTATCGCAAAACTCATATAAAGCAAAAATGAAGCTTATAGAATAACGAATCGATTCATTTTTTGTTGTTTAGTTAGGTTAGGTTAGGTCACCTCATTTTTTCGGAAAAAAATTAACAACAAAATCTATGACAAAAATCATAAAAATAAAAACTATCAATTTGTAGGAAATTACACGAGCTACAAATTAACCTCTATAGTTGAACAGTCTTGAACTCTTCATTTTCACGAGATTTTTGGGTTTTAAGGGCTCAGAGAAGGTGGCCCTTTTCTACATGCAAGTCAAACTAAAAAAACGTAATATCTACGAAATGAAGAGATCTACAGAAAAATTAAACGGGAGCAAAAATATTGCAAAAAAAAGACCTTCAATTTTCTTCTGTTGCATTTTTTACGTATCTTGCTTAGTTTTTGAGATATGTCAAAAAAATTAAAATTTTTTAAAAAACAAAAAATATTTTTTTTTCATTATTTTCCACTTCTTCCAAATTTAGGCATTCTAAACCGCTCGAACTTGGAGAGTCAATTGCTAGTACCTAAATATAGCCAAATATACATGTATTACGCTTAGTTTTTCTTTTTATGATTTTAGTAATAGATATGTGGTTCATTTTTTCCCGAAATAATCAGGTGACCATATTATTTTTATCATAACTCCGCGAGTTTTTAAGCTACGAACTTCTTTAACAAAGCATTTAAAAGGTCTTTTCAAGCACTTTAAAAACGGTCATATTCATTTTCTTCGAAAAATGTGTTCTTTCGCCATTATTTTACGGTAAAAGGTTGCAATTTAGTTTTCGAAAAATAAAAAATCACGTTTACATAATGATAACTCGGCTATTATTACACCTACCGTAATCAACAAAAAAAGATCGTTTAGTTATTCCAAAAGCTTCATTTTTGCTTTATATGAGTTTTGCGATAAAACGCAAGGTTTTCGAGTTATTTATAAAAACTGGCAAAAAAAATATGCAGTTTTTAGATAAAAAATCAACATTTTCAATCTTAAATAACTAGGAAAATATCAATTTTCTGAAAAAATGTTATAGAACATATTTTGCTTAGAATTCATCCCTTTATTGATTTTTGTAATTAAAATGGGTGATTTATTTTTCACCCCCGAGAAGGGGTGGTACTCACCCCCAGGGTGAAAGTACACATCGCTATTATGTAACTTTTGTTTCTTACCTATATTTCACGTCAATCGGTGCAGGTATTCAGAATTCGGACCCTAAAACCCACGCTTACTGCCCTAAAAGGAATTTCAGACTGTTCAGAACCCATATGAAAATCTACAATGGAGTAGTCTCATTTATTAACATATTTAAATTTAAAATGATATCTCGTGATATATAAGTTGTATGTGAGAAAGTTTGCAACTAAAGAAAAAGAAAAAAAAATTGTAAGTTACTACTATACATTTATGAAAATAAGTACAGGTATAGTATTTCCGAAGTCAATTGGAAGTACTGAGACTCATTCCTTCGTCCCGACGATGCCGACAAAGACAGTGCCGAAATTAAGAGTCTCAATCTATTCCAACTAACTTCAGATAAACTATACATTATATATGTAATTTTCTTTTTAATACTGTTTTCCCTAATTTATTGCAAACTTTTTGACACGCACTGTATAATAATATAAATTATTGGTATGTGAGAAACGAGATTGATGTACTACTGATATAAAAATGTGTGTAATTTATGTAGCTAAAGTTTGCTTCAAATATTAAGTAAGTATGTACAGTATAAAGATACCTAATATTGTGATGTTAATAGCATTCTAATTGAACTAGAATGGATAAAAAAACGTGTGTTTTGATATTTAAATAGAACTAAAACATAGTATTTTAGATATTGATAAATAGCAAGTCTCAAAAGTAAGTAAAAATAATTATTAAAAAAGTAATTTTTTCCAAAAAAGTAAGTTCCTAGAGTTACACGCATAATTCTAATTCAGTCCTGACAGCTCAAAAATAAGATTTTCTGATTTAATTGTATTTAAACTATAATATTTATTACAATCCTGTTTACGAGTGGAGTTAAATATAGTCTGTTCGGCGAGATAATGTACGAGAGAATATGTGACGAATTTTATCTTTTATGTGTCAATATAGTCTCTTCTCACGCTGGACGGACTTTAGCCAATGCTACTTAAAATTTATTAGATTTAAGATGATTTTAAAGCTTTGTATCTACCATTTTAACAGTTCTCCTTTTTTAATATTATTTGTGTTTTCTATTGTTGATTACTCCAATGCATTTTACAGAGAAACCATTTACATACATTACATTACAATATTTCTTAACATTCTGATTTGACGTTGATGCGAATATGGTTAGAGAAACGTACTTTCAGTATGTTAATAATTGTATTTCAGTAAGTTAATTTCAGTTGTTAAAGTGTTGAGTTGTAATGCATCGAAATTGTTATGAATTTTTAGTCTCCTTTACAAGTAATTTTTGTTCAAAATTATAAAACATCACAATATTTTAAGCTATATAGTTTGTTGCCTGTTTTATATAATTTGTTGGGGGTTAGATTTTGTTAAATAAAGGATTTTATTATTTACTAAATGTTTTATTAACATTATTAATACAATTATTGATCCATTAATTTTTTTTGTAATTAATAATTTCGTTGTAGATTTTAATGTTTCAAGTTAACACTTTTTCTCCATATTTTGTGGTTTTTGAATTTTATATGAAATTCTAAACACATATTTTTTGTGTATAATGTCAAATACCGAGTTGGTAAGTCAGGATCCGGCTAACTATTTCAAAGATCGATTAAGCTATATGTTTTCGAAATATTCCTATACTGCGATATTCCCATACTTATCGCTTATCTAATAACAGTGCTTTTGTTCTTGAAATATAATGTTATCAATCTAATTACATTTTTAAATTCTAGGTAATATTGTACTCTAATTTTCTAAACATCTTCTCATTGCATCTTCTATACCTAACAAAATTATTAAAAAAATATTTAAAAACAAATTTGCTATATTGTAAAAAATATTATGCTCTGATAGCATTGCATTTAAAAAAAAAAGTTCGCATTGTTATTTGAAAAACGTCTAGTAACATCGCAGACACGATTTTTCGAATATTAGATCTAATTAATCAAACCCTAGCCCACCCTTTGTTTTTCTCCACACTCTAGCAACTTTCGATGTATTAAACTGGCTCATGTGCTCATGTACAGTTCGTCTGCTCGATCTGTGTCTATGAAAGGAATGCGGGCAAAAAACATTTAAATAAACAGCAATATATTTTATGACGAGTACGTCACCGCAAATCGCTCCGCCTACTCATTTTATTGGCTATTGCAAATTTGTCGAATTTTTATTGATGGGACGCGTCGTCTAATTTTTTACGAAAAACATCGAGAGAATATCGTTTCCCCTCTCACGGATACCCCGTAGCCACAGAACGGACAGACGTACTGTAATCTGTGCGCTTGCAGCACGCGATTATTGGAACATCGAATTGGGACTTCTGATTTCACAAAATATAAAAATGACATTCATTGCAATATTAGACAATACGTTTTAGTAGAC